GTTCATGAGACACCCACACTTGTCCCCGAGACACCCACACTTGTCCCTGAGACACCCTCACTGTCCACGAGACACTCACACTTGTCCCTGAGACACACTTGTCCATAAGTATGTTCAAGGCCACTTCTGTTTGAGCAGCTGGACTTCAGTCTCACTGCAAAAACTGCCGCACCTCAATCCCCCTGCATCCACGAAAACCTGGATCACAGGTAGCCAGCATGAAACACATCACAAGGGGAAACTGAGTCCCAAAGATGGGTTGGCCACCTTCCCACACCACAACACCCTGGAGTGACAGCTGCCACCGTCTCTCCTGCTCCCTCGCTCTTCCGTGCTGACATTTCCTGGCTTGTTCACTGATTTCACACCCAGAAAATCTGACTCAAGGCACGAGAGAGGTAGCTCAGCCCAGCTCTGCCCAGGCATGCAGCACATGCAAATCGTGGGTAACCCGAGGCTAAGAGAAGAACTGGGAAGGAAGAATTGATTTCCACGTGTGTATTTGTCTGGGGGCTTTATGCTGTTTTAGCTACTTCCTGTGTGTGGCTTTAACTATCCCAGTCCCTAGCAGGCTCGTACCACACATACATGCCTGATGGGGGATGTCGGAACGTCACTAGGGTGGTTAACTGTAATGAGGGGCTATTTGATGGGCCTTTTTCAGCTTATTTGAAGGAGTTCCATCTAGCTCTTTCATTATGTTAGGAAAAAGGTCAGGGGAGATGAAAACCTGCTGCCCCTTCTAAAGTCATTTGACTCACATATAATTATATTTCAGAACATTCCCAATCTTCTAGTATTTCTTTTTTAGGTTTTATTTGACCATGACATCATGAACAAAAGAAAAACTCGGCACTGGTGCATTTCAGTCCGGAGCTAACAAGAGACCCACAGCGCACCTCTGTCTCCGGGGACCCGGAACACTGTGGGTAATTAGAAATCCCAAAGATGAGGGCAGACGGTTTCTCCCGCTCGCTCACCACACATGGGCACACGTGTGTGCACACACACACAAGTACCTACACACGCACAGACACCAGAAGCTCATCCCGCGGTTTCTAAAGAGGTAAGTCCGGATGTTTAAGATCCAAAGAACTATACATGACCTTATTTTAGACTCTCAATTGTTATCTTAATGATAGACTGTTAGAGCTGTACAGAAAGGGCCACTGGTGATTCTGCAGTCCAGGTGCTTCCCTTGACAAGCTGGCCAACTGATGCCCTGAAGCCTGGGGTTGGCTGTATTTTAGCCCTACCACTTACCAGCCGTGTGACCTTTGGCAAGTGCCTTAACCTCTCTGTGCCCCGGGGTCTCCTCTCAAAAATTACAGTAACTCTATCTTCCACATTGCGTCATTGAGAGGCTTAAATAAAATAAGCATTTAGCCCAGTGCTTGGCACCTGGCTATTAGCTAGCATCGTAGCTATTCTTATGAATACCACTGAAGACATTCAGCTAGAATCAGGCAATCAGTTAGTGGCAGGCTGGGTGCAGAACTGAAAGCGACGCCTCGTGTCCATCTCGCGTCCCCACCTGGCTGTCTCTGGCAGGAAGAACCCTGCTTTTTGTCCCAGTCTTGGATGGAATGGCTGGCCACGCACAGGCTCAGTGGCCCCGTCTGCAGCTGCAGGACAATTATCTGCAATCGCCTCCCAGCGAAAACGCTGAGTAACGAACTGAAACGTGCGCTTTTGGAATGATCCGTTTTCCTCAGCCACGTGGCAGTTGGAGGGAGGAAGCTGCTCCAGCTTTGACTGCATTTGGGGAGCACAGTGCCCGCTCACTCTTTGGCCATCACGAAAATGTGCCGGGCCCCGCAGAGTTAATAGCATCTTTACTTAGGGTAGTTGCTGCCTTACAGGGAGCGTGGATCACAAGTAGAATACGACACGGAGGTATCCTCATGGTCAGATTCACGCTCCGCTATCCAGGCAGTGGGGACAAATTCAGGCAGCTGCTTGACTGTTGACTTCTTGAGGTCTTAGGTGCTTTTCTGACCATGGGCTGTCCCAGGGTAGGCACTTAACGAGTGTGTATTCAGCAGAATCGACAACTCTTCCCACGGCTGCACCAGTTTATTCAAAGTAAATCATGATTTCGTATTACATTGGGAAATAACAAGTGGTCCCAATTTATATTCCTGGATACCTGGGGAAGCCCCCCATTTCGCTATGGCGAGGCTTCATTTAAGAAGAAGAATGCCCCATTGATAGGACAGGTGCACTGCTGAGGAACTGTCTTAGCTCTCAGTGGACCCTCATCCCGCCTCCGTTAGCAGCACGAAAGAGCACACACAGGTGTCGTGCAGAACAAATTCCTCACTCCCAGCATGCTCATTTTTCTCACTCCCAGCATGCTCATTTTTCTCGTCCAGAATTTACTTGGGGAAAGCTATGCTCCAACCCAGCCACTGGTGCCATTGTGCAATCCAGCGGGATGGCAGTCACCTCGCTGTTTAGTTACGACCCATGAAAAGATGAAAAAGAAAGAAAAACACAGAGCATACACACACAGAACGAGGGTGGAGGCTGCGTGATGATAATGAAAACCATTTGTCAGGATTTCGCTCCTTTCTTTCTGAATTGGCCGAGTTCCTGGCACCAGGCCTCTGTCTGCGAAGGGAGCTGCACCCCTAAGACCTTCCAGGGGCTCGTTCACCATGTCCAGTCCATGTCACACCATGTCCTCAGAGAGGAGGGCACTTGATTGACTGTCCCGGCTCCCTCTGGGCCACAGCCTAGACTGGGCCTGGCTCCAGTCGCACCTCTGTCCTAAGGCGCCTCCCCCACCCTGTGGAATCAGGCATTAACCTCAGTTTCCAGCTCTGCCTTAGCCAGACTGCGGTTTGCTGTAAGAAGGGCTCTCCCCTTGCCTGCATTGTGTCCACCGGCAGTCCCCGCTTCCTTTTGAGCTGTTCTACTTTTCCTTCTTTCCACAGACCTGATCTCCATATTCCCAAAATACAGATTCACACCTTTTTTTTTTTAAGGATAAAAAAGCAAAATAACAATTTTAAATGAAAACAAAAAAGTGTCAACAACCCCCCCCCCCCGCCCCCAATTTACAACCGGTGGAACAGCGTGTATCTGCCTGAGCATGTTTGTGGTGCTTGCATTGTCCCTGAGAGAGGAATGGCCTCAAAAGATGTGTGTTGTAGTTACAGTAATGTGCACTTGGGCCCGTGAAGGCCTAGTGCCTAATTGTCCACCACTCGATCTGCCCCTTTCTCAAACCCATCACGGCATTTGCCCCAGTCATGTCTCTTATTCAGACCTGTGGATCACAGTGGCATTCTCTCCAACCTCCGCCACCACCACTCTCCCCACCACCATCATCACCATAACCAGCTCCTCCTCCATCACCAGGACCACTACCCTTACCGCCATCGCCGCCTCCACCAACATTTCCACCACCA